GATGAAAAGAAACACAATTGTTAGAATTTAAATATTGCTTACCAAATAAATTCAAACAGAATTGTTTTCTGAAATTATTAAAATATACTATCCGCCTCAATGGAAAAATGTGACTGAGTTCATGAAGCCTTGGCGAAAATTAAACTGAATCAGTTACTCATCCAGTCAGTGGCTCATCCGTCTTTGAACCAACCCTATCAGCATTGGACCACACCTCCACAAAGTCCTATCAGCATTCTGAGTCCACTTTAAAAGATATTCAAAATCACAAAACAGCTGCTACTTAACCAAGTGTCTGCTCAGTTTGGTTGCAATGTCTGACTTCAACTCGGATGACCTTGATTCAACCCTCCTCTGTCCCCTTCTCCAACTGTGCCACAAGCTCAAGCTGGCCATGTCTTCCTTGTCCCATCGATGATTCCTCTGGTCTTTACTGCATTCACGAGGCATCCCCAACCAGACCGCTATATTGAGCAGGGTTTTTCCAGAGATTTCTACCCAAGGGGAGGTTTTTCATTCCACTTTCACTTTGTGCTTGTTCATGATGAGGATTCATAGGAACCTGTGTCTTAATCCAGCTAGTTTCCATCTTCATTCTTTCCTCGCTCCGCCCCCAGCTCCTAGACTAGGAGGAAATACAACTTGTTCTCATTAATCGGCTAATACATATTTCAGTGCTGATGTTTCCAGCTGAGGTCTGAGCAACAAAGATTTAAATATTTTATGAGTAAAACTCTTCTAATTGCCCTATTTCTTTCTGTGAGTTTTTAAGGTTAAAATAATTTTAATGACAAAAAAATATTTTGATAAAGAGCAACTTTATGTAGAGCTAGAGATCCTCTCCAAAGTTTGGACATAATAGCAAATATAAATGTGTCTGTGGTTGACACTTAGACAATAAACAAACTGCACTATTGCAGAGTTTAATTTAGTTTTTAGATTTCATAAATCTCTTTTCTACCACAAATTATTCAAATATTTGTTAAATACTTTAGGGACTTAAACTTGGAATGCATGCTTTATTTCAATTAGACTAAAATTATGAATGTGATGAAAGAAAGCATCTCATGTCCACTCTTAAGTGGGGATGATATGTGTGTGCTATTGCCCGGTTTCTCAGCCAAAGGCTCTTTTTTTACATGTATGCAATTGATTTTGTTTTTTTTTTATCACAGTGAATACCAGCTTGTAGACAATTCACTTCACTTTGGAATGCATGGTTACATTCAATATGTGTGTTTGTGAATATAGTGTTCATTTGAGCAAAATACCCATTTACCCCCAGATGACATAAATTCTTATGCAATATCTTTTTAAATACTCAGAGACCTTAAAAATAAGAATTATGAATATTCAGCCATTTATCTTTTCAATTCAGTTGCAAAAACTGTTACTCTATAAGGCAACTAATCCTTATGATATAAAATCAGTAACCTATGAGATAAACGAACTTAAGTAATTGGACTGTCCAATTGTTATTACAAAAACCTAAAAAAAAAAAAAAGGAAAAAAACTAAAACCTTGTACACCTCTTCTAAAACAAGTGTAAGGGTCCAATGAGGCCTTAGTGCAATTGAGGAGATTGTTTGAGCTGGGACCCCCTTCTTTACTGGCCCGGCCACACCCACATTGCAGCAACCTCGGAACTGGCAACTCAAATGAAAAATATATTCATTTAAAATAAATCAAACAAACAAGAAATTGCAAAATGATTTAACCAAATATTTGCACCCAAATCCCATGCTAAATCCCATAAGTAAAATAGTCAAATACAGTATAGTAAACCAAAGTGATGTATTTAAGTGTAGAGAATTTACAGACCATTTATTGTGCAGCTGCACTGGCCATCACAAAAAAATACATTTGTTCTGTATGTTCATTCCATATCACTTTTGTGAGATTTTATGCAAAAGCTATAAACACAGATTTCCAAGCTTTTTATCAATATTAAATTTTTTTGTCTAGCTCTGGACCTTTACTTGGCTGCCCATACAATAGTTTTATGGATTATAGGTGTAATTATGTTGAGAGGCTGCAATATTTTAAGTAGAAAACCTGAATAAGTTCTAATATTTGCAATCTGTGTACAATATGTCAATGGTACAAAATAATGTTTTTCTCATAATGTTTCGCATAACAACAGTGGGTTGCAAGACACTGTAGTCCCTTGAAAAAGGGTCCAATATAATACAACATTTTATGAAAAATAAAAACAAATATTTCATATATAGACTATGTCAAGAGGTGGTCCTTATTTAGAATGTCAGGAAGTAAAGAGAGGATCTTTGGTGTCAGTGACAAAGCTGGGTGCTGGGATGGTGGAGGGCAGCCGAGAACTTAGTTGAAGTTGGCAGCACTAAGCTGGTAGCAGCTGCAGGTAGAAAGCAGCAGTAGTGCATGGCATGGAGATTGTAGCAGGATGCTTTGCAGCTTTAACCTGACAACAGCCAGATGCATGTCTCGCTCCGCCCAGCGAGCTAGGCGGAGTGAGACATGCATCTGGCTGTTGTCAGGTTATTGCAGCTTAGGCAGATAGTCCAAATGGGTAGGGAGTGCTTCATATACTTTACAGCATGTCAAAGATGATGTGTGGAACAACAGCACAGCTTGAGTTGACTGCCTGAACTAGGCAGTCCTCTTGCCACTTTTTCATAAAAGCAGGATTTGTGCAGAGCGGGCTAATAGTTCTCTTTATTATATCACCTAAGCTTTAGTTCTCTGCAGAGTTACACATTGTGTGTGTTTCTCTGATTACTACACTTCCTGTCCTTTCAGTCAGTTTAGACAGACAACCATGTCTGTGTGGATTTACAGTTTCAAAAGTTCTTTATTTAGGGTAGACTTTCAAACTAATCTTTCATGTTCTTTGTAACCCTATTACCGGCCTCTCTGGTCAGGGATAAAATCATTACTTAACTCCACCAAGGAGGTTAAGTGATTGTGTGTCTGTCTGTCTACAGGATAACTTGAAAATATTTACACCTATTGTAGACCTAGGTTTCTTTTAACCATTACTAAATGTCAACTATTTAAAATTATAATTGATATAGGTAATTATTGATCATTCTAACATTCATGAAGGCACCAAGGTATTAACAAGCTTTCTTTTTGAAAGATATATAAGAAAGTGATTGGCAGCTGCTCCAGCCATAGCACAGTACCACAAGGTCAACCACATTTGAAATACACAGCAAGCCTCTGGTCTTCGGGCTTCTCTTAGCGCAGCTGCAAACAGAAAAAGAGACAGGAGCAGAGCTGGGTGTGGGGTTTAATTACCTCTGGTGTGACATAAGTGCTGCCAGTCATGCTGCGAACTATACTTACAACTTCTTTATTATTTTGGCACAACACCCTCCATTTTGCCTTATTGCACTACCCGTGGGTTAATTTCTAACGTGTATTCACAGAAAGATTTCTGACCGTAATTGAAGCAATTTTAGTGAAATATTAATACTTTATTAGAGCAATATATGTCAAGTAACAGTGCAGTTTCTTTGAGGACATTCACTAGTTTCACTTTTTAGTCTGTCCACTTTAAGTATTAATGCTTCACTGGTGGCTTAAACATTATTGGAAGAGCATTTTATTTTGTAGTCAAATTGAGTGCTTGTCAAGAACTATTTGACAAGAAGGGAAGACAGGCATCCTCAGCCAATCTGTACATCTTTTTACATTACCTAATATTAAGTATTAAATAGACAGAGAGCATGAGCTTGGATGACACTATTGCATCCACCTTTGGTTACATTTGTGGATATTCAGTATAGATCCTGAATTGAACAGCAATAGAAAGAAAAGTGCTGATGTGCCTGCAAAGCACAACTTAAATGTAGGTGGAACCTAGATAGATCAAGAAAGAGGAGATTTCCTTGAGGCAAAACAAGTAAATGAGTCGTTATAATGGAAGTACTATCAGGTACATTCTAATAGCGTTACATCTGAATGGATGCCTTAAAAGTTAAGCATTAAAGGATTTTTCATTTTGCTGCACAATCCCCCTGGGAAGACATTAATGCTTTAGTTATGGACCTAACTGTAAAACCTCCAGAGGTGCTCTGTTTATGTCCCATAAATATTGGCGGTTATGTATTTGTATAGAGTGATTGCTGCTTTTATGGGGAGAGAGTATTTTTGTGCAAAACAGTCAGTACATTTGATGTGATATTGTGTGTCATTTCTACGGCCAGGTTGTCACCCTGCCTGGAGGGCCAGATCCCCAGGTGCAGCACAACACAGCTGAGACCTTGCTCATCTCTGATCTTTCTCACCCGTCTCGCACATAAACCCAACCAGAGCCTTACAAGCATATAGACGCACAAAATGAATTGCAACAACACACAAAACACTAACATATAAGCCAGACTTCATTTCTGCTCTGTTGAATCTGTTAGTGTCACACTCTGCAGATGCTTTAGCCACAGCGATGGGGACAGTGAATTTACACAAATTGTCTTCCTAGCCATTTGGCTGGAACAGCAGGTTTTGAAATGATAATGAATATGTGGGCCAGGATCTCCCACATGGCATCGTGTCTGGTGTGGAAACAGAAGAAATAAAAGATGGCATCCCTGGAAAGCAGAAAGCATAAAAAAAGTTTCTCATGTGAAATATGAAAATCAGATTCTGGCACAACTAGACGAGTAAAGCAGTCTGTGATAGTCAGAGGTGATAAAAAAAATATATATGAATCTGGATGCCATACTTTTACTGATAGATGTAGTAGAGAGTTCTTGGGGCTTCTAATTTACAGCTCAGAGTTGTGCAGTTTTATAACATCAATAATGGCACTAACAATAATAATGTAAATATTAGTTCTAAAAGAAGAAGAAAGAAACAAACAATGTGCAAGAAAAAAGAAAGCTGGTGGAATGGATGATGTAATGCTGGCAAACTCACTACACGTGTACTTGGCTGTTGATTGTAGGAGTAATAAACACAAGCCAATTTCTCTTTAATCATGTAGAGAGAGGTCAAACAGAAGAAGGGGGAGAGGCAGAGTAAAGGTCAGACGCTGTAGCAGTATAAATACACAGCATAGTTACATCCAAACATAATTGCTGTAAGAGGCAAGTCAGAGGAGATGAAGGAGAACTGCAATTCACTGAATCTTCTGGAAATGGCAGCTGCCCCTGAGCCAGAGCTGCTGTGTATATTTGGGACTGGGGACCTGGGGCGCTCTCTGGGCTTCCGTCTGCTCCAGTCTGGCTACAAAGTTGTGTATGGCAGCAGAAGACCACACAGCTGCGGCCCTTTACCGCAGGGAGCTCAGGTACTACATATGACTTATCACTGAAGCTTGAGTGTGTCAAATAAAAACAGAACAAAAGCAAAAACATGTGTATGCTGTGTGTAGTGAATTATGTGTTGAAGAGATGAATATGTTTTTCATAGGTGATGACCCATGAAGAAGCAGCCAAATCTGCTGACCTGATCTTTGTTTGTGTTCACCGTGAACATTATGAATTCTTGACATCAATAGATCATTGTCTTCAAGGGAAGGTAAATATATGGGTTTTACTTTATTTGAATTTAATTCATGTTCCTCACAAATAAAAAAATACACCAAATGTTATTTTTTGAAGAGCAAAATGTTATCCATCTTTAAAAAAAGAATGCATAAGAGATGAAACAGCAATATCTTTAGCACATCATGAAATATCTCAGCCAATTTTTATTCTAATTCTTGGTTTAGTAACTAAACAGTAACAACATGGCTAGTCAGCACTGATGATATCACACTGTTAATAATAAGTTTATTATGTGACCCCCCACCACATCTATTTAAACTTGGGATACAGAGTCTACAGCAGTATAACATTTACCTCAGCATATTGTCAAATTTTTGTTATTTTAGTTATTAGTTATTTTTTGGATGTATCTATTTACAGAAAAAATCAACTGATTATGAAATCCCACTGCTTTCATATATTTTGTGTTTTGTTATGTTAAAACAGATTATCTTCTTAATATAAAGTTTTTTTTGTAATGTTATGAATATTTATACAGTTTTTGCTCTTTTCAACTATTCATAATATCTGATACTTTTCACTACTTTTTACTCTCTTATATGATTCCTATTCAGAACTTTGGCAAACTTCTATCTGAACTGCCATTTTAGTTAAACTTTAAAATCTGATGTAAATTGAATCTTTTTTTCTGTCTGTCTGTCTGTCTGTCTGTCTGTCTGTCTGTCTGTCTGTGTATATCAGAATTTTCCCATTGATGTTCTAGCATTTGAAACTATATAGTTCATAATAAAATAAACAAATCTATCAAATATTTTATTCATTCAATAATTATTTTGAATCCATTTTGCTTTAAAGGTTTTGGTGGATCTCAGTAACAACCTGAAAAAAGATATATACCCGGAAGCAAATGCTGTCTACTTGCAAAGGTAACGTACTCTAGTGCAAAAGAGTAATAAATAAATTACAGGGTATGTCCATTGCTGTATGGGCTGCATGATATCTATTTAGTTAAGCTTGCATCTTCTCCATATGCATACACTTCTTATAACTGTAGAAAAACGTGTTTGTTTGGTTCGGCATAATAATGGGTATATGGTTTATAAATCCTTGTGGTGAGGACCATCTTACCTGCATGTACCCAAGCCTTTATTCAGAATTAGAAGGTGTGATAATTATTGTCTCTTGTCAACTCAATATATGGTTTAGTCAAACTTCTGTCAGCATTTCACCATTTTACTTCACCTTTTTATTTGTTTAACAGGGACATTTTAAAACTTTTAAGTAAATGTGTCAGTATTAGCTACTATGCTCATTTGTTGTTGCCTATGTACCTTTTAAAACTTCTTCATCAAATGATGAGGTCATCTCTTGTCCACAGCCCAGTTCACATCAGCCCTCAGACATTGTTAAAATTAGTTGTGGATTCTAGCTTTTTAGAACTTTATTTTTCCTCCTATTGAGTAATTTTGTTCTAATTTGTGTATGCTTACATTTACTGATATGCTTAAAAAATATTGGACTAGTATAAATAATATATAAATACTTTTCATTTAACTCAATAAATACACCATAGGGCATGATGCTGCAAACGTCCCACTGTAGTCACAGTGTAATAATCATAGATGTTTTTGTGCCAAGACTACCTATAGAAGTTGCTAAGCAAGTGTGAAGTTTATTTTTATCCAATTATAATGTAACACATTATCCTACACAGCTTTGGCATCTTCTTTTTAGATGGTAAGACTTATGTATTGTGTCTTTACTGACTGAATCCTGAAAATTATAATTAAAAGGTGTGCAGATTTATGCTACCAGGTAGAATGTTTCTTTTTACACTTAAAACCATAAGAGATTTTCTTAAGTGTTTTGTTATTGTTTTATGCAGGAAATAAGAAGGTCCCATTTTATGAGAGAAAGATTTTAAAGTTATTTGTCATAGTCTCAGTTTTTGCACAATCTGCCCTTTTTGCATGGTTGTATGCACTTTTTTAAAGCCTTGGCAAGTGATAGCTTGTATGAATTTTTGCTCTGTTATATTTCTTACATGGTTATGGGCATATAATTTTCTCTAGATGATGGTAAAAACCCACATAAAACAAAAAAATAAATAGGAGATTTTTTTTGCATAAAAAAGTTGTTAGGTAGCAATAAAGAGAGCATATGCATATGATACAAATCCCCTATGCAATTTTACTTATCACATAACTAAGTTTAGAGGGACCTAGTTGTAAAGTTTTTTCGTTTTTTCTTGCTTGTGGGAAAGCCTTTCGTTGTCACCAATGTTTGGTGTGAATCTAAAGGTTTCTTAGAAATATAGATTTAGAAAGAGTAGGTTCACATTTTTAGTCCTTTTTAATCCCAAAGTAATATTTTCTAATAAAAAGTAGGACAACCATTAAATATCAAGCATTAGAAATGAAATTTCTCCATATCAATTAACTTTTCTTGCCCTTTTCTACTAAACAAATGTGTGATTTAATTACAAACGAAACCTAATTGAACATGGTTACTCGATGAAAAAAAGATATTAACATTAATTTTTTAAAGTAAAAAATTTAAAACATCAACCAATAAAAAAGGCTGTTTTTGATTAAAGATTTTCTAGTTTCTGACTGGTCTGAGGATAGCTATCTTATGTCTAACTTTTTACTTCACTTAATTTTTTTTTATTTCTCTTTATTTTTTTATTTACAGATTTTTTATTTTTTTTTATTTATTTTTTATTTTTTTTTGGGGGGGGGGGGGGTATGGTATTTGCATATAAAAAGTATCATCCCAACCTCTTAATTAGATCACATTTTTTAGAACAAGCAGCAATTATAACAAAAATCATGCTTTATCATTCTATGATGGTGAGTTAAAGTTTGACAATTTACTGTGTCCTGAAACCATGACGTTTCCAGCTATGTCCCTTAACAGTAGCCTGTGTTGTTGTTTTGTTTTTCTCAGCTCTTTGCTTTGTTTCTTTAATATTTCCCTTTATTCTGTGTTCAAATAGTCTTATTTTAAACTAATTTGAAATTTTTTGTATGGTCCTTCTCAGCGTACTGCTAAGTTTTCCTTGATGTACATCTTCCTCAGAATTTGAAATCTTACAAACTCTTTCTGATCTTACAGGTTTGCAATTTCTCATGATATTTTTTAGGTTTTGGAGACAGTTAATGTTTATTGTCTAAGCATACATACATTTGATTTTGATCTTATGCTTAACACTTTAAATTGTTTACCACACACTTTGGCCTTTACAAATATTCCTGAAAACCTCGGAAATCACTTTTAATCTTGTCTTGGCATTCTCTCTTGGCTCAACAGCAAATAAAACGTGAGAAAATGCATCTTTGACCTTTGACCTACACCTAACCTTGTAGTTGATTTTTAGCTACCGTATTTTAAGTTTTAAAATATTATATGTCTGAATATGATTTAGCCTAAATTCTTTTTACTTTGCTAATTTTATCAATACATATTTAGAAGGCATTTTTTCATGCTTTATTGTTTGCTTGTATTGCTTTTATAAATATAATGTATGATATTCTTAAATATAAATATATTCTGAGTGTTAAACAATGATCAGGCTTTCAGATGGGAGCCCAGTTTTTCAGGACTGCAATTATGTGTTTAAACAAATTGAATTTGCTATTGATTAAAAAGAAAAAAAATATTTTCTCCAGGTTGGTCCCAAAAGCTACTGTAGTGAAAGGTCTTAACACACTCTCTGCCTGGGCCCTGCAGAATGGATTGCTGGCAGGTAAACAGGTAAGAAGTAAATAATTTTTTTAGACATGTTATTAGGAATGAGGCAAAGCAGCAGCAGGAAGCTGCCAGACATTAAGAAATACTTTAGCTGGGAGGAGAAAAGATACAGAGACAGAGCAGCTACAGGCAGGAGATTACCAATTCTATCTGTTTATGATGAGAAACACTTGACATCAAACCAGAAAACAATAACTGCTTTCATCGCTTGTTGTATCTTAGGAAAATTGTCTTTTAGATTTGCAAATATAAGGAGATTACTTCTTCATACACCGCACCCAACTTGGAAATTGAATTCTTTTCATTTACCTTCCCGCTGATAACTGATTGTATCCACTTTCTGTCTGAGGGTTAAAGAAAATGAGGACATTGTACAAACAAACAAAAAAAGAAAACAAAAGAACCATAGCAAAAAAAACACACCTTCCTGTATTGTCAGAAAGTTGAAAGCTCATTGTTTATTGCAACCTTCATTTCAGTTTGTTTTGAGAGAAACACAAACACGCTGGAACCTCTGGAGACCAAACCTGAATCTGCCTCAAATCATCTTTAGCACAAACAGCTTATCATATGTGTACACCTAAGCACACACTCCTACAGAGGTTCAGCAAAACTAGCTCTTTGGAATCAGGTAAAGCATGCGAGTTGCGTCTCCAAATATCTTTCTTACTGCACAAGTGGCCACAGTATGCATGCACTCACATGCATGCTTGTAATGTGCACTATTCCCTGGCCAGCAATTTGATTAGATCCACAGCGGGGCTGTGGCGCTGTCACATTTACATTCAGATGGAGATTTAGTCTGTCGGCCGTCCCCTGCTGTTACTGGTGCAGTAATGTAGGCAGACATGGCTGGCTGCCCAGTCCACTTATACACACACCTGGGGAAAAGTGCTCCATCCCTACGACTCTCACACATGCCTGTCAAACTGCTCTTTCCAACACTCTCAATTTCTTACAAACAACTTAATCATCTATACTACAGCTTAGAGATAAAGATGATAACTGTCAGCATGGTGGGATCTAGAAATGGGATTAAATACTTAGAACAGGAGCAGACTTATTTTTACAGACTCAAATAATGCCGAGAAGTTTAGGCTCAAAACATGAGACCAAATATCTGAGGCTTTTACATTTTAGTTTTATAGTACTTGTGACTTAACCCCTTGTTTTTTTTTTTGTTTAAACAGTAGAAAAAAATCTTCTTAACTTATTAACAAAAGATGGCTTAGTCCTCAGACAGACTTTTAATAAAACCTGTGTTCTCAATTGAACTCTGAACACATCAGCTGACAATATCAGTGATACTCTTGGAGCATAATTGGCAAAGGAAAAGAATGTTGAGGGTGCCACAGAAAAAAGAAACAATTCTATTGTCAATTAGAGTTATTAAGATAGGAAAGGTAGGTCTGTTGAAGCATGATTCTATTTATCTTTAGTATTAACAAACAGTATATGGCAATTGAGAGCTTTTGCTGTATTTGCTCTGGTATTCCTTTGTTTATTGCATACTGCTATATATTTGATTTATGGGAGCAGAAACTATTATGTTAGGAAAATCAAACACTATGCAAGTTGGGTAAGCGTTATTTCAGCTATTATATCCAAGGAAAACCTAAGAATAATACAAAATGAAAATGGGATGTAGAGCATATTTTTAAAGATTTGGCAAACCGGTTGTCTATTTAATGGAAATAGAAGTATGAATAAGATTTTTAGATACATTTTTTTCTTGTCAGTCAAAAAAAACTAGAGATAGAGAAGTTCTCCAACATAGAAAAGTTTGTATCAATTCATTTACAACAATAGTCAGCTGGGTAGCTCAAGTGGTATGTCATCTGACTTCCACACAGGGGGCCCTGGATTGGTAACCACACCTGGGGGAATAAGCTGCCAGTGTGGGTCCTTAGTCAAGATCCGTCACGCTAATGACTATGTTGTAAGTCGCTTTGGATAAAAGAGACTTCTAGATATGTAAAAATAAACAATAAAGCCACAAATTCATTCATCACCATATAAACCTTATTACAACTTTTTGAAGTCTTTACATTTCTGATTTATAAACTTATATTTGGGATACAAATATAAGTTTAAGAAAACATAAATAACTTGGGTACCAATACTGAACTATGAGGATCACAACAGGTATTTAATTATTATTCAATATGAAAAAAAATATATTTTCAATTTAACTTGTTTTCCAATTCTTTTCCACACCTAATGTTCTGCTTTAACGCTCTAATGCTACACTAACTTAAATCAAACATCCATTCTGCAAAAAAAAAAGCCTTTTAATCTTAAATATAAAATGACCACATTACTTTCTTTTCTTTTGTTTTTATTTAATTTTATTTTTTTATTTTTCAGGGAAGCTTTTTTGTGATATTTGGTAAAACACAAATCTAGATTTTTTTTTAAATTGTGTAGCTTTAGTAAATTAATCTAATCATATTTAGTCATCTTTTTTTCGCAAATAAAAGACAATTAAGGGTACAAAACTGTGTTGAAAACTGTAAAAAAAAATTGCATTAAAATTTTGATTTTTCTTTATTTTTGGAAAAAAAGTCTTCTCAATATGTCTAAATATCTAAACTACAGCATATTACTGAAGTTGTCTTAACTGTGTGCAGGTGTACCTGTGTGGAGAAAGTGAAGAAGCAAAGCAGGCAGTGGCACGGATGGCAACCAAACTGGGCCTTACTGTTTTGGATAAAGGCTCTCTTTCAGCTGCTAGAGAGTTGGAAAACTTTCCCCTACAATTGTTTCCAGACTGGAGGCTCCCTTTGTCCATAGCTCTGGGTCTCACCGCCTTCTTTTTCTTCTACCTCCTCATTAGAGATGTCATCTATGCATATGTTGAAAAGAATAATGATATCTCATACCGAATAATGGTGTCCCTTACCAACAAGGTAGAGAGTGGTCCCTAAAATATAGTATATTGCAATATGATACATTTTATTCTTAATGTTTATTATTATATGTTTCAGGTGTGTCCAATCGTGGCCCTCATTATGCTATCTCTATGTTACCTGCCTGGTGCTGTAGCTGCATTTTTTCAACTCTACAGAGGCACAAAATACCGGTCTGACCATCATACCACTGAGAAGAAAATTATGAAATATTATTAATTTGACAGACTGATACATTATATCTATTATTGTAGACATTAGATAATTAATTAAAGAGTATGTGACTTTGGTGTTGCTTTTTTTTCTCAGGCGTTTCCCTAACTGGCTTGACCGCTGGATGCTTTGCAGGAAGCAGATGGGTATTGTTGCACTCGGCTACGCTTTTCTACATGCCATCTATACATTCATCATTCCTATTCGCTACTCTGTCAGGCACAAACTTATCTCGGCAGTGGTGGATGAGGTACAGCAAGCTGATCCAACCTGTTACAACATTTTTACAGTCACATGAAAAAAGGACATGGCATAAAACTATCATTGATTGTATATACAAAAGAAATCACCACTTGGTCCTCTCTTTTTCCCTTTTTCTCATTTTTTTTTGTAGATGAAGAAAAATAAAACCACCCCTTTTGACTTTGATAATACGGAGGCGTGGGGCACAGACTCGTTCTTATCACTGGGAATCCTGGGATTTTTTCTTTTTGTCCTCTTAGGACTAACATCCCTGCCCTCTGTTGGAGGCTCTCTCAGCTGGAGAGAATTCAGCTTTATTCAGGTCAGAACTCTGTTGGAAATGTGTGTGTGATTCTGTGCTTCCACCTTCACAAGCATGAATATTATAATGTGAAGTAAATCAATCAGTAGAAGAAATCCTTAGGTACGTTTGTAGTTGGTTATAGTTGGACTTTCTAGCTTCTTTTACGATAGTCATTAAATGTTCCAAAAGCATTAGATGTAGACACCCGTCTCCCTAAAGCGGAGTTAGATAACTTCCTAACCCCTGCACACAGAGAGGACTGTCGTCTGGGATCTTAAATGTTAAGTTATTCATTAAATAGAATTATGATACCTGGTGTAATTTCCAGCAGGGACATTGTTAATACAGGTCACAGGCCTATTTATGTAAAGGTCAGGTCCAAAAGTAGACACTAAAAAAGACTAACAGAAAGACGCATAGGTCAAAATAATATGTGATCTAGTAAAAAGACTTGTATTTTAAAAAAGTACCAATAATTTAGCAATGGAATTAAATTTGTCAAACTGACTTAAAACAAATGTCTACTGTTCATTATACGGACTATTTATTTGTGCACGTTAATCCAAATCTAAAATATTCATGTTTATGCTTTTAGAGCTTATTATAAGCTCATTATATGGCTCTGAAGATTAGTAGCCTAATGCAAAAACTTTGAATGAAAGCAAATTATGCCAGTGATTAACAAAAATTGGGCCTTAAAGGCGGTGTTTTGCCAAATTTGCTACTGCCAAATTTCACAGGAGCAATCTATATTTTTATGGAGCTAAACCAGTGACATCTTGCATTTGACATTGTATAAAAGATTTGGCATTGTAGAATAGAACATTTAAAACAAATAAGCAGTCTTAATTCAAAGCTATATTTTCTGTCCTTTGTAGCACTTAAGGTTTCCATCAGCAATAAAATATTACATTCAGCAAATTCTCCTGGGGAAAAAAAGCATTGAAATAGTTTATTCATTACATGAATGATTAGCAATGAAGATTCATTTAGCAAGAAATACAATCTACAAACTTTTGGAAAATCATAAAACATAGCAAATAAAGATGAATCTACAGCTTTACTTCCATTAATGTTTAAAGGCATGTAGATTGCTTGTAACAAACTTTTGTCATCAAATTAAGAAAGTAAAAGAAAAGCATTTTTTGTTTTAATTAAGAGTATTTCAGATTACATTGGGGTTCAACTTATAAATGGACAAAATTTTTTGTCAAAATTTGACAGTCAAAATCCATGCCTTTTGTCATCAGCCAAGTGATGGAAAAAGTGAACTCAGGGGTCATTCACTGTATGAACAATAATTATGTATAGTTCAGGTATATGGCAGAATGCGAGAAAAAAGGGTTCATATGGTAGGATACTGCATTTACCCACTAAACCAAAGGGTTTACAGTAAGCAGTGACTATTGATGGCTCTGAAAACACTCAAAAGTTTGGAGGTATTTTACTTAAGACAAAGGCTGAATCTCAAACAGTCCCCACCCACTCACCTTTAACTATCAAGTGTCACTCGTAATGAGGTCACACTTACAGCTGTGGAAGTCGCCTGGATTGTGCATGGGGGATATAAACATGGGAGGCCTCTTTCCTCCAATGGAAATGGAAAGCAGTGATTTCTTTTGGCAACACAGTGCCGGCGCATATGCCTGCCTGCAGCTCTGTGGTGCAGGTTAACTTAACATAACACAAAACATCTGCCATTTTCTTGAAAATAAATCTGTCCCGTCGAATAGATTTCAAAGAGGACCTTCCCTTTAGGGATTAATACAGTCTTTATTATTTTCCTCACTTGTGATTTTCTGTCAGTATGATGGAGTTGAAGCAAACCATTTTCATAATGGATCTGTCACTTCATCAGTAACATATCTCCTATCTTAGGATTTAGCAGCTTTCCTCCGCCACTAGTTCGTCATTACAGCTGCTGGCAAATCCTACCAAGCCTCCATTGATGCAGACTCGCTGTTTAATGGCTAAGCGGTCTACTCGCCCTGCCCACTATGTGGTTTGGCCCTTAATGTGGCGGGGCCTGCGCAGGAGTCTACAAACACAGATTTTGTGCTTAGAGTTAGTTGACCGGTTTAGGATTCAGCCAAAAACACCAAAGGGAATGTTTTTAGTTTATTAGCAGGAAGAACTAAGAATGGATTGTATGGACATTATTTACCAGAGGTGCACCTCATGGCAACAAACAATTAATTTCAATTTGGTGATACAGATCATGTGCAAGTTTCAGCTATACGTTTAAGTCACAATTTAGGGCAACTTGGTGGAGGTCTGCACTCTCTGAGTGCTTTTCCAGTCTTGATTTTGGCTTCCAACCTTTTCCTCCATGGTGGACTGTCCATTGAGGATGCTGTTAATATTACCTTGGTCAAGCATTTTGAAAGTTTTCTACTTTTTCCAAATTTTAGGCTTCAGACATAAAGATGTAAAATTGTAATGTTTTTAGAAAAATCAACAAGTAGGACACAATCATGAAGTATAACGATCAATTATGTATTGGATATTTTTAACTTTTTTAATAAATTAAAAACTGAATAAATGGGTGTGCAAAATTATTCAGCCCTCTTGGGTAAATACTTTGCAATGCCACCTTGTGGCAATAGGTCAAAAAGCTCAAGAGGGCAGAGTACTTCTGCAAGGCACTGTATTTGTATCTAAATATATATTTAAAAAAAACTTGACATGGACATACACAGGATTATATTGTTCTACTGTAGTCCAACTCACATTCTCATAATAACCAAAAATATTATCCAAGACAAACAGAACAATATATAATTAAAACAAGCAACTTTAATTTGAGCCATATCAACATAACAATATAAATAAAATCAATTTGAATATTATTGTTTTAGATATTGGCTCAAATTTATGGTGTTTTTCGCCAACATAGCGTATGTTGCATCCAGCATCTGTTACATCCTTGGTGAAGAGGATCCACACCTGACCGTCCCCCCATGCCTGTGACATGACAATCTATAGTGTAGTTTGGTAATTAGATTTCCCAGCTGGGAGAAATGAGCTGCCAGTGTTAGTCCTTAGGCATATTTCTAATTTTCCTAAAACTCAGCTATAACTTTCAGCTTTCTTAAAAAATCAGGGCGCAACCTTTAGAAATTCTTAGCAAAATAACATACAATTATATGATTTAATCTAGCCCTGGGATAACCTGGAGAAAAGGAAAGAAAATTTATTTAGTTAGGCTGACAGTAGACTTTTAATACTCTTTAGACACTGGACCCCATCTTCATAACTTAAATGATAATTTTGATGTTTTTATCCTTATTTTGGCATGTTATAAAAAAAAACTACATTCTCTGTAATGTTTTTCTATTTATTTTTTTTCAGTCTAAACTGGGACATCTCACTTTGTTCATTTGTACGGCTCATGGCTACATCTATGGCTGGAATAAATTTCTTAGCTCCTCAACTTATAAATGGTACACACCTCCAGGCTACATGCTCTGTCTGATTGTACCTTCTGTGGTTCTGGTGCTTAAGCTACTTCTTCTCCTTCCCTGCGTGGACCGAACCCTCACCCGAATTCGACAAGGCTGGGAGAGAAATAAGCCAAAGGAGAATGCTGGTGAAATAAAGGCCACAACACTTTGAATGTAGTTGTTAGAAGATACAGCCACTAAGAATTTCTTCCACCTTATTGAAATTAGCACAAAATAGTGTTTTTTTTAATAAGCTACACACAGCTTTGATTGGATGATATTTGAATTGTGTGCAAGATTATCCATTTTTGTTTTCATGAAGAGGAAAAAATATAAGAATTGATTATTTTAAATATATTGCCCTCTATGCGTGATGAATTCTTTCTAGACAGACTTTCGAGACAAAAATATTGGACATATTGAAAAATTCAGAATAATCAATTTTCTGATATGTATCTGTATTAATCCTAATGTATGTTACCCAAGCTTTAAACTTTTATTGCTATTTTTTTGCAAATCGGAATTGCAGAATTTTACTAGAATATAGGTGCTTTTTGTATCAATTACAGATGTGTTTCACTTTTGTTATATCTAATAATACCAATATTGATATACTGTATACCAACCATGATTAAAATGAATACAGTGCTAAGGCTGCAACTTGTATTAAATTTTGAGTGTATTATTTTGTCTCTCTGATGTATTTAGACTGTGGACAAATAAGCACTGCCGCTGTGTTTGGTTAACAATATTTGGCCACATGAACATTTTGAAAAGGACCTTTTACAATTAATTAGGGAGATCTGAAAGCAGGCAAAAGGGATGCCATACAATGAAGTTGTTCTATAGGACAACAAAAAAAACCACAACAATAATTTATGACAAACAAAACTCCTAAACAGCGAACTGGAGTCTGTTTCAATGAGCAGGTTTTCAAAACCTGAAATAAGGGAAACTTTGAGTTTTCCATTTCACAAACAGTTTCCTCAACCTCTGTTTCAGTCACCATAGTAACATTCTCCCCATAGCTAACCTAGTCGGTAGCAGATTTTGTCCTCTGTCTCCGCCCTCCTTAGAGCAATCACTGTGTCTTATTTCCTGACTTAGTAAAGTGTTTTTTGTTGTAGTCCTTTTAACTCTGAATTGATCTAGCCTAAGATTTGAAACTCTGAGTTTAGGGTTTTATTAAAGCTGATGTGAGTTATTTAGTTAGTTATCAACTCTGAGCAGGTCCATTCAGAAATAAACACGTGCGTAACAAGCATCAAAAGCCATTATCAGTGGAGCACCAATTCGACAAGTCATGATGAAAATAGGACACAGAATGTGCCCATTTCACACCACTGGAACTAGAGATTTTAATGAAGAAATGAAAAAAATAAAAAATGTTGCAGAATGTGTTTA